GCAATAACAAAGCCCTCGATGCATCAACTTTACCCTTAGGAGACAAATCATAAAAAGAGTTAGTTGTAAAAACATACAGCAATAGAATAAGAGGAGGAGCATTACAAAAAGAGGAGTAAGGCTGGAGCACAAAGGAAGATCATACCAACTTCGGGCTACTAGAGAAGAAGACAGGAGGGAAAGAGAGAAGGAAAGCCTCCTCAGTCGCCAGTAGCCCTCATGCTTCTGCAGGTGAGAGGCCACCCTCCCAAGCTGTGAATTTAGGAGCTGGGAGAAAGCACTGCCTGTCAAGTCACTCCTTTCTCTGGAAGCCTCTCTCTTCATTATCCACATGGACCCAATTCCCACTTCAGGTCTTTCCAGAATCCTGAGGACCCAGCTCCCTCCTTCTTCTCTCACTGCTCCAGTCCAGTGTCATGATAACCTCAGAGAGGTTCTTTCTCTGCCGCCCACCACTCCACCATCTTCCTGGAAGACCCAAAAAGGCCAGTCCACATTGAGTTTTTGCCATGATGTTCTCTTTTGCATCCTGGTCCACCTACACATTGTAGGGTGTACTTCTTTTCCTACTTTTACTTGGCCCAAACTCACTCTCTCATGCCTCTTTCTTTTTATCCTTAATTAAATTTTGCTATTTTTAAAAAGAAAAGAGCAGCCCTAGGCCACAGTCAGCCGGCAACTAAATCCCTGCAGCCACAGAGCCCACTATTTTTGGAAGGCTATGTGGGAGAAGGACAGCTCCCTGTCAGTGCCCCTGTCTTACAACACAGTCTCCTCTTCATTGTCCTGTAAGTATTTCCGAGCTGTGTGCAGCTGCTGAAAGTCAGACACATCCTTCCATCCTCCATTGGGCAAAGGAGGGCCATGAACTTCTGGGAGTAGAAGCCTGGTCTGCCCAGCCATGAGTGAGGTTAGATGCTACAAAATATACACACAAACTCACACACACACACAAAACCTACACAAACTCACACACACACACACACACACACACACACACACACACTGACATGTACACACAGAAAAGAACTCTGTAGTGAACCAGCTGACAGCAGGATGGAAGGAGGCTAGAAGTCAGGCAGTGCCTCTCATGAGGGAAAAGTAGGAGGCAAATGATAGCTGTGAGGAAGGTTTGCTGTACTCGAGGGTCTCAGAGTCATCCCGCTGAAGGAGGAATTTTGATCAGAGGTGGGATGCTGAGGGCCTTCAGCAACAGTTATAGGGAGAAGAGATTTGAGAAATCCACTCTTGCACTATTGCAGACCATCCCAGTCATGAACAGAGCTCTCCGGGTTCTATGCACTGCAGAAACAAGGCTCTCTTCCCCTCAGCATGTGTCCGTCTGATTTTCCGTGACCGCCTCTTTTGGGATAGAGACGTACTGGGGCAAACCCAAGACTCCACCAACAAAAAGAATTGCTGTTTTCTCTCCTCAAAGCTGTGGCAGAGCCATCCCCATTGGCTGTCATCGCCGCCATGTCCCTTGCAGCACCAAGAAGGGGGCTGTTCCTCAGCGGTCTCTCCACAAATATTTGTTGAATGAGAAAATGAGGAAATATTTCATGAAAAATTGCACAAATGATGAAATCCATGTGTGCATAAATGACTGCCTAAAAGAGCCAGTGAAGGGCAAAAACACAGATGAACATCCTATAGTTATGTAGAAGAAATGTTCTTCATCCATTCCAGACACCACTGATAATCCCAAGAAAAAAGGAGCCACAGTCAGAGTCCCACATGGCAACAGCATCAAAGGGGATGTAAAAAGCTGCAGCCACCTCTCCAGGTGCCACCATGAGAGAACTCACAGTCTCACCTGTACCTCACAAAAGGAGGTCAGAAAAAAGAAAAAAAGCATCGCCCGGAAGGTGGAATCGAACCACTCTGTCGCCAGACAGCTACAGGTTTGAAGCCTGCACCCCAGACCACTGAGGATCATCCGGGCAGGAGGCCATCTTCTCACACACTTATATAAAGGCCAAAAAAAACATAACTTTTTCCAGTATGGTTATATAGCTTGTGAAATGTGAAATAGTTAATTTGAATACCTATACATTCTTTTCATATAATTCTCACCACAAATGACATTTCAAAGTTCTCTCTGTCTTGCCGGCATGAATCATCCTCACTCTGGATGTTGGCTATTTACATAGCGCCCTGCATTCTGGGAAGCAGCTCTCAGGGACCTGGTCAGGTGTTAAAGAGGCAGCAATTCCTGTGTCCAGAGTGCAACCTCAGTTTCAGAGAAGAACCTCATGGGTTGACGGGAAGGGAGGGGAATGGGAAAAAATGGAGAAGCCAGATATATGACATACAGGAACAAATTTCCTACGATGGATATCATCATTATATATACCTAAAATGTGTCAACTAAATAAAGAAAAAATCATCACGTTAAGCACCAGGCATGGTGGTACACACCCGAGTGCATCCCAGAACTCAGAAGCCTTAGCCAGCTGGATAACTTTCAAGTTCACATACTGATGGAAAGCTCACCTCAAACTACACAAGGAGACCCTGTCCAAACAAGACAAAAATCAAAATTAAAGAAACAAAACTTTCTTGGCTAGGCTTGGTGGCTGAAACCTGTAATCCTGGCACTAGCAAGGCTGAGAAAGGAGAATCACCTGGAGTTTGAGGCTAGCCTCCACCTCTGTGATAAGACTGAGACAAGAAGGTAGGACTTGGTTGAAACTGGCTGGGAAAGGTGGAGCTCTCCTGATTACTGGATCAGGTTTTCAAGAGGATGGCCTAGACCTGATGCCAGCCTCCAAGCGGTAATACAAAAAGCACAGTCCACAATGTCATTGCAAGCATGTTCACTCTTGCAGCCCTCATGCTGTACGGTGCACTTTTTTTTTTTTCTACTTTAACTTGGCCCAAGCTCGCTCTGCACACCCTGTTTCTTTTACTATCTTGAATAAAACTTTACTGCTGCTTAAAACAGGGAGGGAGGGAGGAAAGGAGGGAGAGAGGGAAGTGGAGAGGAACATCCTAAATCAGCTTTCAGAAGCCCCTTTGAAAAAGAATCTGAACTACTGTGCAGGAGATTAAATTCACCATAAGGTCATCTAAAGGGCCCTGGAGGCTCTAGGAGCAAGTATGGGGCTGGTGCGACACCTGCTTTCCTTTTGTGGAACTGCGAGGATCTGCAAAGACCTAAATCCACTTAAGCCTTTAGTGTTCACTTAAACCATTAAGTGTCCAAGGACTCCCAGGCACTGTCCTCGGTGCTGGCGATGACAAACATCCTGTCTCCAGACTATAAATACCAATGATCATAACATTTTATACCTATGTGTTGAGGGTATAGGAAACTGGAGCTAAAAAACTGAAAATACCTTAAGCCCATCCAGATGTTATCCTTATGAAAATGCTGGTTCCTTAGGCAGGGATTTCTTGACAGTATTACTTTCAAGAATGAAACCCTCCCATGAGCATTCCTAATAATGGAAAATTATTTTTTAGCAATCAGCCAATCTTAATTATGCAAGGAAGGCTAACTTTACAGGTGGGCCAGGAACTATGTAGGAAGAGCCAGTGGTAATCTTAGAAATGGGAAATTTTTGAAAGGGTGGAATTTGTAATGTCTCCTCCCTTCTCTACTGCCCTGTGTTCCTTAAATCCCAATGCTCTCCCCCTTTATAGCCATATGGAGCACGGGTGCATGTCATGTGAAGGTGTGACTGGGATAGGGAGAGAATGCACCGGACTGTCGTAATCTGAGGTAAGGAGGACATCTCAGCATGTAGGGATGAGACTCTCAACTGTCCAAATCGCAGATGCTTAGGACTCGGGTGCCTGGACACTCAGGACATACAAGTGGCCACATCTGAGCGTGCTGCCATCCCCAGCGACAGAACCACCCGTGTGGGACAAAGATGGTAAACACGGCCTGCCAGAGACCGGGACTCAGAGATCCAAGGATCCAGGCTGGCGTTTTCAGCCCGGAAACCAGCCCCCCAGAGCTGGCTCGAGCTCTGCACACAGGACGTGCTCCCCA